TTTGTGTATTGTAATCTGATTGTGTATGTATTGTCTTTTGTAAGATTTCATCCTCCCCTGCCTATCACCATTTCAAATGGATCTAAGTTGTAACGAAGCTTTACATCCCCATTAGATTAACGTTTATTTTAACTGAAATTTTGGCCTTTCACTTAAAACAAAAGAAATAATAAAATATATGTATTTTCCCTCAGTTTTTTCTTTAAATAATTTTATATTTTAAACTTAATACAGATTAAATTTAAAATTAAAATTGGTAATATTTAATATACAATATTATAGTAAAATTTAATATTAATTCGAATGATTTCTATTTTAGTCTAACCCTAACATTAAGGTATTAATTATTATAACCAAGGTTCGTTGTCAAGTTTTTTGAATTTTCATATACTTGTATTTTGATTGGTCATTGCAGCTTATGTAACAGTGTTTCCCCTATCAAGGAGGTTTTGTTTGATTTGAACCTTTTAAAACTCTTTATTCTACATTCAACACCATCACTTGATAAGACACCAGAAATGTTGTAACAAAATGGCTATTTTTTAGTGATTTTATAACATATTTATTTTATAATTTTCGAATAAATTCTAAATTATATATATATATATATAATTTATAATTTTCGAATAAATTCTAAATTATATATATATATATATATATATATATATATATATATATATATATATATATATGATAGAGATCTTATAAGTATAAATACTATATTCGCTCGAAAACCTTCAGTGCATTAATTTGTAAATAAACAAGCCAATACCAAAGGGAAAAAAGGTATAAAAAAAAAGAAAGAACCAAGAATATGTACGTTAACCGAAAATAATCATCCAGCATACGAGTTCAAGGCCCAACAAAAAAAAAAACCGATGCGAGTACGCAAAACAACTAAATAAAGTACTCAATACAATGAGTAGAGCAGACCTAGTTAAACCTAGCTTTCCCTGACGATCCGCATAGGTGAAACCTTGGTAGGTTTGTCTGGCTCTAGGTTTAACTATATATATATATATATATATATATAGTCATCCGCAGGCAGACTGTTTCGCTGTATCACAGCTCAACAGTGTGGCTAGGATCGAGACCCGACTGAATTGGCATCAGTCGGGGATTCTACCACTAAGCCATTGGCGCACGGTAGGGATGAAGATGACTGAGTGACTGAGAGAACTCGATTCGATTTACCGAAGAGTCTTGCATTATTAGCCGTAATAGTCACTGTTTACAAACCTACATTTCCTCCCTAAAGAGCTCAACCGAAATAAATTTTTCAGGAGCATATATTGTCATCCACACACAGACTGTTTTGCTGTAGAGAGAGAGAGAGAGATTTGGAGATAGATAGATGCGATACGGTACGATACGATATACCTACATTTGTATATCTATCTATATTATGAAATGGACAAAATCCGACAATTATTTTAAGACATTTTTATGTTTATACATTCTTTTTATAGATACAAATATTTAAGTTAATGCTCTGTTTTATAATAAACAGTATTAAACAACATTTACCATAAATGTCCGAAAATTTTCATAGAAAATATTTGTACTCCGACAGGAATCGAACCTGTATCCTATACGGAACCATATATTTATACCTTAACCGCTTCGAGTACGAAGAATGTTCGATTAAGACACGTCAGGCTAAATGACGGTCCGTATATATATATATTCCCTGTCATAGGAATGATATATTTTCTATGAAAATTTCTCGACATTCAGGTTGGTAAATGTTATTAATATGTTTATTATAAAACAGAGCATTTATTAAATATTTGTATCTATAAAAAGAATGTATAAACATAAAAATGTCTTAAAATATCTATTTATCTATCTATGTATCTATCTATCTATCTATCAATGTCTTACCCTTGTCAGTCTAATCCTGGATCCGTATCTATGGATGAGGATATCAATCTTTACTAGGTATAGCGTAAAAAAGGGCGATTGATATCCTCAGTAAACCGTCATTATTCAATATCTGTTTGGCCTGACCTTTTCTAGCCACTCCATTCCACCACCCAATCTCTTTATTTTCCTCCCTTTCCTTCTATTTCCCCCAATGCTCATGTGGGTGAAGGGGAAGGGGGTGATCAGGAGTCCTTTTCCCTCTTTCAAATCAGTAACTGCTTTCTGCGGAAAATACATAATTCGTCCATTACTGAATCATTTCGCTGTGATCTAGAGCATCACCTACCCCAATGTGTCACTAAAGAGTTTGAAACTATTTGGCGCTTAGGATGTCATCCTTGTCTGATCAGGACCTACCAAATGGGCTGTTCGATTTCTATCTATTATTAAACTGTGCATTCGCGTGATTCCTCGAAATAAAAAAAAATAAAAAATCCCCTCTTTACTTCGTGACAAACCGTTTTGTTGTTGTTGTTGTTTTTGCGATTGTACTTGAAATTTCTGCACCTTCCACTCTCTTTCTTTTCATTGTTATTCATCCTCTCTTTCACCAACACTCATTCTCTCCTTTTCTCCTCTCTAATAAGGTTCGTCTCAGCCTGTCACTCATATTTATGGTCCCTCTTTTACTCTCTCTCTCTCCCTCTCTTTCTCTCTCTCTCGCTCTCTCTCTCGCTCTCTCTCTCTCTCTCTCTCTCTTACTCCGTTGTACGTTTTCTTTCTTTCTGAATTTACCTCTTTTTATCCCCTCTGTTTTCCATTTTACTTTTTCTTTCTCGCGATAACACACGTAAATATTCAGGCGCTATTTCTTCCTTTTTTTCATAACATCACATTGTTTGTCTCCCCTTCAATTCCCCCCCCTTTCTCTCTCTCTCTCTCTCTCTCTCTCTCTCTCTCTCTCTACCAACCCTTCTTTCCGGACTGCCGTTACTTTTGTTGTTATCCTCTCACTCTCTGCATTTACGCTCTCTTTTCATATCCCCCTCACTCTCAATCTTATTCACTCCTCAAAATCTTCACTCTCATCTGAATTGTAATCAACATTTACTCCATATCTGTTCTTGCTCCCATTCAATCCCTCTCTCATTCCGTTTCAGTCTCATTACAAAGCTTCAATCGTAGTATTTTTCTTTATTTCTTAACGTTTCCCGTTTCCTTTCTGCATATCTAACTCTTCTCATTCTCAGATAGATAGATAGATAGATAGATATGACTAGAATTAGATAGATAGATAGATAGATAGATACATAGATAGATAGATAGATAGATAGATATGAATAGAATGAGATACATAGATAGATATGAATAGAATGAGATAGACATGAATAGAATTAGATAGATAGATAGATATAAATAGAATGAGATAGATATGAATAGAATGAGATAGATAGATAGATAGATAGATAGATAGATAGATAGATAGATAGATAGATAGATAGAAATAGAATGTGATAGATATAAATAGAATGAGATAGATATGAATAGAATGAGATAGATAGATAGATATGTATAGATAGATAGATAGATAGATAGATAGATATGAATAGAATTAGATAGATAGATAGATAGATAGATAGTATGACCATCACAGGATATTACACTGTCTTAGTTGTGCTTTGAACGGATATGGCTCTTTAAGCCTTTTCCTGCTCAGGGTATTTTTCGTTTATAGTATCCAAACTTATCTGTGCACAGGACGGGCAATCGGTTAAGCTGGTCAAACTTTTAAAACCACTTGCATGTCTTCATTGGTTCTTAATGCCTTTATCGGCTACAGCCAACCATTCACCATGCAAACAGATCTTACGACCTGCGCGTGCATTTTCTAAAGGAGAAAAAGGCGTTGCATTTTGTCACCTCACGCTCTAAGCTAGAAAAGTATATATCCTAAAAGAAGAGCTCGTCAACATCAATGGATGCTGTCAAATCGTAGGCGTTACATCAGTTTTCCTTCTCCTAGTTAGATACCTTAATGAAGGATAAGAGTTCTGAGACTGGCTTATGGTACGCCTGGACATCATTCCTGATATTTCTACATCACACACACACACACGCACACGCACACACACACACACACACACACACACATATATATATATACATACATATATATACATACAACCATTTATTTACTACAACCACGCTCTCCCGTAGACTTACCTGTCACCTTTCTGATCTTAATTCTATTAAACATTTATTAGAAAAACATAGCCATGTGCATAATATTAGACAGATATTAGTTGATAACACAGCAATACTCACACATACACATAGTAAAAAGAACCTTCAGATATTGGAGCCCATCTACATTAAAAACAAAACAACCCACACTCAACAAAATTACATTTCAAACTAGTCCCAACACACTACATTGCATCTAGACAATGGTTCTGTTGCTAATATTTCGGTCTCTCACGTGGTACGACGTCACAGAACCGTATCGTGAACTTAGAATTTGCGTCTGCTATTACACGACCGTTAGCGTCGCATAGCAATCTTCTATGTCAACATAACAGAATATTATCTTTGATGGTGAATATCTTTGTTTAAATGTCCGTATAACTACTCTGAAGATGGTGCATGTCAGCCGAAAGCTTAGATCAAAGAACAGCTTAATAAAAAAATATATATATCCAAATGTTGGACAATTTTTTCTTTATTTTCACCCGAAATTAAATCAAATATACAGAGTTCAGACCTCACATGATCAAACATAATAGACATGCATTGTCTGTTATATTTAACAATATATATATATATATATATATATATATATATATATTGATTAATTGAGTGTTTCTCGTTTTCTACGGTTTATCAACCCTTTGCAGGTTATTTAAAGCCAGATAATATTTTTAGATTGTAATAATTTGGTGTGGATGAGAAAATTATGATTTCGTGGTGCAAGTCTGACTAATTAACCCATAGCTAGGGAGAGAAGAGGTGGATTCCTACCTTTCTCAAGAGTATTTGCCTGTAGGTGAATAAAACCAACCCAACAGAAATTGGAACTCGGATCTCCGATGAAAAATTCCGAGCCTTCAGCCATTGCACCACCCGCACATCCAAGCGTACAACACCTGCTATTCCAATGCGGTTACCCATCTTGGCACTGACCAGGCTCGACGCTGCTTAACTTCGGTAATCGTACGTGAACCGGTGTTGTAGGGATACACCTAGAGAGGCAAATAGATAAATCTGTCCTGAACACGATGGTTAACAAGTTTGTCTCAATTTACCAAGCGCGCCATATTTGTGGTCTTGTACCAGACAAAGCTAAGTTTAGGAAATTCACTTCGAGATAACTAATAAACTGAACTAATCTATCATTAGTAATGTAATTACTTCAATCTTTACCGAGATACTCAAAATATTGTCCCTTAGCCAGCCGTGGCTAAGCTTTATAAATGCCGATAAACAGGCACCGATGATAGATAGATAGATAGATAGATAGATAGATAGATAGATAGATAGATTGTGATAGATAGAGATAGATAGATAGACAGATAAGGATTGGGATAGATCGGCCGTCAAACCGACAGCACAAGATAGATTGATAGATCACAACAATCAATATTTTATCCTTATATCACCTACTGTCTCGCACTGCGCAAGTCCGTCTCATGGTTAATATATACGCCGAGATGTGTTCATCTTTATTAATGCCACCTGTTGTTTTCGCTTTTTTTACCGATGTTATCAGCAAGTGGCACGTCCAGCGTTCGATTTCGTTGATTGGCTCATCATAACTCGGCCAATGGAAACGAACGCTTTCAAAACACAAATATTGAACTCAAATGACGCGTTCTACGCTTAACAGTCGGGGACTTCATAAAAAGCTATATTCCTCGATGCTATTCCAGAAATGACACATCACTGATATTCATAGGTTATAGAGATTTATATCAAACAAGAAAAAAAAATGACATATGTGATGTCACTTAATCAGAAATCACAGTTAAATATTAGCATGTCCTTAGGTAATTTATTGTAGAAAAACAACAATGAATTTTGATATTTGAAATTAGCTAAGTGTGACACAGGGTCAAATATTTTTTGTTGTTTTTTTGTGTTTGTGTTTTACGGCTTATCAACCTTTTACAAGTTATTTAAAGTCAGAAATAATTTTTATTCCTTTTCTGTAAATATTTTCATAGTAATTGTTCAGATGAGCTCTTAGCTATTTATTTTGTTTATTTTCTTGTAAATAGATTTGTATTCATATTGTAAATACTCTATGGGGCTTGTTTTTAAATTGTTGTTTTTCCCCCTCCCTCCACCACAAACCATGAATTATACATATGGGGAGTAGTTAGGATTTTCATAGAGACAATGAGGTATTATGGTGGATGTAGTAAGAAAGGTAAGAATGTGTTGTTTTGGTGTAAGGAATATTGTCGTATGTTTAGGTCAGTGTTTGTGGCTAGCTAAGTTATCGTTAAGACAGAAGAAGACCGTCTTTTCCCCAATCCCCCCCCTTCGGCCTTGTGCCACATTTCTGTGCATTTAACAGAATAAATATTGCTCTTCGCTATTTTTGTTTAGTTTCTTGTAAATAGATTTGTATTCATATTGTAAATACTCTATGGGGCTAGTTTTTAAATTGTTTTTTTTACTCCCCCACCACCACCACAGACAATAAATTGTACATGTGGAGACTAGTTAAGATTTTCATAGAGACAATGTGGTATTATGGTGGATGTATTAAGAAAGGTAAATAAGAATGTGTTGTTTTAGCGATAGGAATATTGTGGAATGTTTGGGTCAGTGTTTGTGGCTAACTAAGTTTAAAGTTAAGGCAGATGAAGACCGTCCTTTTCCCTATTCCCCATCTTGGCCTTGTGCCCCATTTTTGTACATAGCAGAAATGAATATCTCTCTCCGCTATGGTACCTAGATTTTATAAATTTAAGCGCAGTACTAGATTGGTAACAAGGTCTCATCAATTTACAATTGAAGTGGCTAGATGTAACCGTAGGTTCTATGCTAACAGTTTCTTTTCTCGCACTTCTCCCTTGACAAATTCTCTTCCGGCTGCTTGCTTTCCAGTCAACTTTGATCTTCAAAAATTTAAATGCAATGTCTATCGTTATTTACTGTCTTACTGATTACTCTTCTATTGTTCTCGTTCCTTTCTAATGTTTCTCTTTTTTCTTATTCTTTCACACTCCTGTGTTTAAGTGGCTTCCTGCCTTATTTAGAGTAAATTTGATTAAAAATGATTTACTGATGCAAGTCCTACTAACTAACCTATAGTTTTTTTTTTAGAAAAGATGGATTCATATCTTTCCAAAGAGTACTTCCGTTCTAAGTAAATATAAAAAACGCGATTGGGATTGGAACTCAACACTCTGATTTTAAATTCCGCGCCGTTATGCATTACACCAACGGCAAATCCAAGCTTACAGACATTTAGGTATTGACCAGGCTCGAAGTTGATTAACTCCAGTGATCTTGCGAGCACCGGTGTCTCAACGTGATATGGCCGTAAGCACATGATCAGATGTAAAGAAATAAGGATAAGAAAACTGTTTTAGCGCCAATTTTTCAATTGTCAAGGGTTTGTCTGCCTTGAAAATTCGCATCTGAAATTCCGTTATTTTTTCTGAGTTTCACCATTTTTACCGGTTAGATTTATGCAAATACCTCAGCCAGGGCTGATAGAATATTTCTTCCTCTTCATGTGAAATGCATTCTGAAAGTCTAAATTTCAGTTTCTGGTCAATAGGCCGGGTAGGTTTTTATCATCTCTCAGTTGCGTCTCGGGTAGAGTGCGACACGGCTGTGGCTCCGTCGGAGGGGCAGAGGCGCAATTGAGGAAAATCACACTGTGAGGTGCCCAGCTCTGGGGAACAAATGCCCGAAGCTCATTCTCTCATTGCACTAGAGAGAGGAATCGGTGATCGCAACGAGACCAGCGCAACCGATGGTTGCGGGGGCTCGGGAAATTTTTGTCCTCGGCCCGGGTGTACGCGCTCGGGATCCCCACATTAAACCCGACTTTGTGTCACATTCCGTCTCTATGGGGAGTCTAGGGTAAATATTCATACCTCTTTAAAATTATTACATATAAGTTCTTTTTAATAGCTTCTTCTTTCACACTTCTCGTCAATGGAACACACTTCCGGCTTCTCGCTTTCCTGTCAACTTCTTCGATCTGCCACGTCTTTTCAGGACATAGGCGATCATTGCTCTTCACAAACTTCTATCGCTTGTGGTTCTTTGCTAATCCCCTACCTTCTGCCATCCATTCACACAAGCTTATAAGATAAGTGACTCGCCTTCTTCCGCTATCTGTCTTGCCCTCAACATGCCCCCGTGAGGGTTAAGTTTTCTAAGCCTTCCTTCCTCATATGTCCAAGAAATTTCAGCTGTCACGGTAGAAATAGGTATGAACCACCGATGGTGATGCCAATGCGCGAAATCACAAACTATGGAACATCTTCTATTTTTGCCCCAATCTTGAAGATCCATGCACACTTTACGACCTTAACACCCCAGGCAAGGTTTTGTGGGCAACACTGGATGGGTGTGGTTTAGTGACTCGATAAAAAGAATTGGCTCACTGCCTTTCCCATTCTTTTGTTCTCGGTGGAGGCACGGTGGAGTAATGGATAGCGGCTTGGATTGAGGAATCGGAGAGTCGAGTTCGAATTCCAGTCGAATCCATTACATTCACTTACGTGCTAATACCCTTGGGAAAGGTGTGAATCCTCTTTCTTCTCCCTCCAGCTATGGGTAAATAGCAGGACAGACTGGGTTCTATAGCCTTGGATGGCAACTGGTCTAGGAGAAGGAAAACTCTGAATTCAAAACCTGCGGAGGGTGAATGGAGTCTCTCTGAGCCTTGGTTGGCAATCCATTTAGTGTTGGTGTCACAATAAAAACACCCTTGATAGTCCTAGCGAAGCATCAAGAATTCAGCTATTTGATAAGATTATGAACTACACCAATCAAAGTATTAGCTATGACAGATAAGGAATACTGGAAAGGTAGTGAGTTCAATCTCGGCTGAGGCCGCAGGATGATGATGATGTCCCGTGAGGATTAACCCTTTGAGCTCTGCGTACCTAAACAATTTTAACCCTTCTGCCTGAGCTACTGAGTCAAAATTCGCAAATAATTGATATATAATGTTTCACGGTAGATATAAAAATAGTTACAAGTGTTTACCCACCGTTCAATCGGTGGGTAAGCATTAAGTCATTTTTCTCTACCACGGTTCAACCGGTGACTGGACATTACGTAAGGCGGTGATCAGGGCTCAAAGGGTTAAGCTTTCCAACCCCCTTTCCTCCTTAATTTCAACTTTTCCTGATTCTGAGTAGAAGAGTTCTTTCTGTTGTCATTTTCTTGAACACTTCCTTGTTGCTTACTCGCTCCGTCCATGGAATTCTCATCATCCTTCTGTAGAACCACATTTCCATTGTCTCTGGTTATTTCCTCATTCCTGGGAAGATCGTTCAACATTCACTGTCATATAAGACTACAATGATCAAAAAATGCAACGTCCATGCAATGGCAGTCGCCATTTTCTGTTTCCTTGAATCCTGTCTTTTTTTTTCTTTCTCGTTTTCTCAGTTTCTTTCACTTGTTTTCTGTCGTCAGTACTCCCCGCCCCTTGCGTCTTAGTGGCTTTATTGCCTTTTTTCGAGTGAAATGACTAAACAGATATCCAATCAAGTTCAATATAATTCTTTTGTATAAATTCATCGTAATGTATGTCTGCGAAGATACATTTTATTGTCAAGAGAGTGGAGACATTTTGAAAGAAATAGATGTTGATGATTTAAAAATTTCATTAGATGCCATAATGTCGTGGGTGCATTTCGGTTTTATGATGTTTAATGTCTTAAAAACTTAATATAATTATTTAGCAAATATCTTTCTTATTTTTATAAATCTATCTTTTAAATATAAAATGGGGTCATGAAATTATTTTACAAACATCAAATGCATTTTTTTAAGAATTATTGTCTGTTTGTTTTTCCAAAGAAGTTTCTTCTTTATGTGTCGTATCCCCTCAGGACGTAGGCGATCATTGCTCTTCACATTTTCCTCTCCTTCGAGCCTCTTAATAAATTTTGTCTTTGTCGTTATTTCTCCTAAATCCTGTCCCGCCATTCATTTACTCAAGCTCACGAAGTATTTATGCGTTGTTTTCCTCTG